CTTTCTCAGGGAGAAAGTAATGAAATGGCTAATTGAGTATCTGTTTGTGTTACTTTGATTAAAGGATCTCTGGTCAGAGAAGCACAGTCAGAACTAAGTTCCCAAGAGAGGCACTATTAAGGAGAGGAGAGAAGTAAGCTTTCATCTGCATTGTACATAAAATGAAATTGTTCTGTATAATCTCCATTTTAGATACTGGCTTTTAGAGAAGATCTTAAACTCCAGCCAGGAAAGAAGCAACAAATTAGGGCTTATGATAAAATTCTGTAGGTTAGACACACACAATCCAAAACCGTATAAAAGCATCAATGTCTTTGGGTTAAAGTTTTGTTGGGTAAAAATAAAAACAATTTTAAAAAAATTATAGTGAAATAGGGGAGGTTTTTTAGTATGTGCCTTAAAATAAAGGTCTAAAAAGCTGCAGGTGGAGAATAGCTTGAGAAATTGAACTCTCAGAGTTGGACCAGCAGCCGGGGTCTTGAGGGCAGATGACGAGATGGTTGTTGGTGAGAACAGCCAGAGCACGTGCTCGTTCCCTGGGCATACCCTGGCAGTAACGTGCAGGGTTCTACCAGCTGCATGGCCTCTGAGGTTGTAGATTGCTTTTGTGTAGGTACCTGCGTGAGCAGCCTCGGTGTGTTCCTTCTGCTGCATTTCAAGATGTGAATTACAACTTTCCGCTCTCACGTGGGTGGCTTGCCTGGGTCTTTGTGAAGGGGGTTTGTCACTGGGAGTTCTCACTCACTCTCGGTCCCCGGCCGCCGCGTGCCGCAGTTCTCTCTCCGGCTTCACGCAGACACCCAGGGACATCCTTTTTTCGAGGAAAGTGGAAGTAAATTCCTTTACTGAAACTTCACTCTCTAAAATTTGATCTTGTCACGTATAGGAGTTTTCTTTTGTCCTCTGCTGTTAACCGCTTAATTTTGTTCTGCTTGAAGCTGACGGGGACAAAAGAAGCCTGTGTACGAAGAGGTTGGGAACATGAACCGGGAGTTCATATTACAAATGATAAGTAGGTAATTAGACAGAGAGGAACTGAGTAGTTGGTAAGAAGGAGCAGATGTATTTAAACAGAAATAGGCTTATGGAGGACTCTGAAACTTGAGAATCATTGCTGATAGTTAGGAATCAGTTTGATGAATCAACTATTGGAATAATTTTGGAAAGATAAAGGGTTTGTAATACTGTGTAGAGGTTCCTTCATTCCCCTTGCACCTCAGGATTATTTCACACACCCAGATTTTCTTCAGTGATCCTGCAAATCAGCACACCCCCAGTTACGTAAAAGCTGATTATTCTCACTGTTCACAGCTGCATCTGGCTGCAAGAATTCAGTTTTACCAGGTTCCAGCTCTTTTAATGGGGACTTAAACCTCTGTATCAACCAGGGAATGTGCTGGCTGCTGGAGCTCAAATCTGAAATGCTGAGTTGCCAGTTTGCAGAGCTGCACCGTTACTGCTGCTCGCCGCGAAGGCTGACGGCGCTGCAGCCGCCACCGTGCAGGGCAGTTATGTAACCAGGGACTGGAGTTTCCCTTTGAAATATTTAAAATACTCAGGGCAGAATAGGAAGGGGTTTATTTTTTTTTTTTTAAATCTACTCATGTTTTGTGATGTAAATTTTGGTTGTGCTGGGTTATGGTTTGTGGTGAGGTTTGGGAGGGCGGCACGATCGCTGTTCAAAGATGACCTATTTGTAGTAATAATCCCAGCCTGGAGCAGCCAGAGGAGGTTTCACTAGTAGATCGTGTTCTTCGATATCACCACTTCATTTGTTTCTCATGCTATCCTGTTTATCTGCTCCTTCAGTTTCTTTATTTTTGTTTTAAACAGATCTCATTCACTTCCTTTAGGAACTTCCTTTAAAAAATAATTTAAAAAAAAATTGCTTTTCCATCACAACTTTTTAAACTATTATTTTCCCCTCAGTTGTTTGCCACAGGCTGGATGGTGGTAGTTAAACAATATTATTTGTGAGAGAATTAACTGTTTGCAGTGTGTTTCCAGAACATTTCTGTAGTATCTGTCATGACTGAGGAGTTGTGAGCTGGCTCTGGCTTCGTGGAACTGGTTCCACGTGCATCTCTGTTGTGTGTTGTACTGCTCTTCCTGTAATACAAGGGAGGTGTTGGGTTTAGGTGTGTGTGATTTCTAGTTCATAGAGAGCATCTGCCAATACCTGACTCTTAAAACACATCTGTTCTTTCCAGTTAATGCTGTTTATTAAAGTGACCTGGAACGTTGCCTTGCTGTAATCAGAGACAGCAAGTGTCTTTCTCAATGTTCATTTCAACACACTGTATTTCACTAAACTTGTGGATGATAAGGTTTTGCTTTTGAAAATAAACCAGCAATAAAGTTTCAGAAGCTTCTGTCAGTTTCTAGATGTGCAGATTTAAATATGAGAGATGAGTTTTAACAAAATGATAGTTTACATCTGCCTTTAATACTTGCTGAAGTTGGGGATTTTATGTCCATTCTCTGGTAAATGCCATTAGTCACCCAAAACAGCATTAACATTTTCCTTTGTGTTTTACAGTGAAAGGCAAAGAACAAGAAAAGACCACGGATGTGAAAGCAATTAAAAGTAAGATCAGTATTTACTTTGTCTATAAATTCAGATATCTGATATCATCTGCCATTGTTATTTTAACCAGTGGGATAATTTCCTTACAGCTGAGCACTGATGTGACCTCTCCATCAAAACTAAAACCCAAAACTTAATTCTCTTTCTGACTATTTATAGTAACTAATCTTTCCTAGTCATCTTGCTGAATCTGTAAGTACAGAAGGTTATTAAATTATGTCAGACATGAGCTTTAATTCAAAGTGATCATGGGATTCAGTCACCTTGCAAATAGTGGTTATTCTTTATCTGCAACAAATGGCTTCTGAAGTTTCTTGCTTACGTGTAGTGTACTCTGCAGTTCTGAAGATGCAGCTTAACTGTGTCTGATTTGCAAGAGAGGCTGCCAGTGCCTTTGACTGATGTGGCTTGTGAGACTGAAGATCCCAGTCTTGGTCAGAATGAATGGCTGTTCTAATGCTGCTCCATGTGATGCAGAAATCTTGCTGCTAAATCTGTTCAGAGAGGAGAAAAAAAAAATCTTGATGGGAAGGAAGATTATAAACCATGGGAAAACAAGATTATTTATCCTGTCAGGTTTTGTTGCAATATTAAAAGGAGATGAGGTAATTTGTGTCAATCTGATCTGTTACTTTTATTTCCTCAGACAAAATCCTGTTTCTGTACTTGTCAACGTGTTATCTGGTTATCAAGAGAAAATTAAAGGCTTTTTTCACTTTGGTGGTCTGTCTTTCAAATCAAATATGGGAAACAATAAATTGCATCAGTTTAATAGCACACCCTGTGATTTCAGTGCAACTGCAGTCTCTGATGTCTAGCTGAAAGAAGTTACGTTGCTTGTAAATAAAAATAAATCTGAAAATATGTTGGTTTGCACGTTGTGAGCTGCTGCAAACAGAGAGCATCTTTCCAGTTTGGCAAGGAGCTGCTCCATGATCTGTGTGGTGTTGGGTTAGCAGTGTGGGGCTGTCCAGAGGCTTTGGAACAGGTGTTTGATCCTTTGATTGAGTAGAACAATGTTCATAGTATAAAATTAAATTTGAATCTAATTCACAAAAGCCCAAACCGTTCCGAGGAGTGTGGCTCTGTCTCCTCCAGCAGCTCTTCCCCAGTTCATGTCATCAGTTTTTTTTTAGCCATTGGCTTGGGGGGAAAAAATGTGTTTTCTCCATTATTGCTGGTATGAAATGGTTGGACTCGATGATTTCAAAGGTCTTTTCCAGCCACTGTGATTCTAAATACCAAGGACTTTGCAAGAGGTGGCACGTGGTGTCTTGGTACCGAACGCTGCAACTGGAGAAACACTTTGCAATACCTTGACCATTTAACTCCCCTGTGCTGTTCCTCCTGAGGTGTGTGTTGCCATGGCGTGCAGGTGTGAAACTGTCAGCTTCTGTCATTGAGTGTCATGAAATTGTGAACAAAAATAAAGTCACGCAGCATGAAAGTCCTCAAACCAAGTCGCCTGACACCTTGATGAAACAGGTTGTTGGGAAGCAGCGTGTTGAGATGGTGTCATCTGACTCGCTCCAAGTCAGAGGTGTAAGATGTCCTCGCACGACATCCCAATCAAATGCATTTCCTGAGAGCTTTTGAAACCGCTGGGAGCGTGTTTTATCAGCTTTGTCACCAATTAATTTAACAATTAATTGATGCTTTTTCACTGATGGAGTTTTGTGTGAGGAAGTTCTTCTTTGTTCTCTTCAGGCTCAAATTGCCAGCTGTGTTCTGAAACAGCAAGAGGAGGTTGAAGCTTATAACCTGGGTTTTATCAGAGAGGCTTCCTTACTGCATTTTTCTCTTAAAACCAAATAAGAGGCAAAGAAAATATTTTTGAAAGATATTCTTGTTAAAACTCACAAATAGCTTTGTAGTTCATGATTTTGTAACAGGTTTTAGCCTTCAAAAAGGGTGTGGAAATGGATTGGTAAGAACTAAATTAAATCACTGACAAAGCATGAAGCTCTTACAATAGTGGTTATAGAGGAAGCGGGAAGACACAGGAATAGAATTTCACATGTAAACTTAGACTTGGAGTCTTTTAGCTACTGAATAAGGCAGGTGTAGGTGGGTGGATACCACTGATCTATTGGAAATGAGTTTATTCTTGCTGTAATAAAATTCATTTATTTCTGTGGTCTTCACTCTTACCAGCCCCTTGATCAAAGATGACACACAGTGGGACAATGAGGTTTTTAATAAGATTCACTCTTGCAAACTCTCTGGTGTATTTTTGGGGTGACTAGCATTGGGTGCTGCTTAGAAGAGGTCTTGGGATCCTTGTCTTGTAATCATTCCTGTCTTGATTCCAGCTCCAATACCAGTACATTCCCCTCAAAGAAGCACTAGGAATCATGCCTTGCTGGAGGCTGCAGGACCAAGCCATGTGGCGATTAACGCCATCTCTGCCAACATGGACTCTTTCTCTAGCAGTCGGACAGCTGCCCTTAAGAAGCAGCCAAGTCACATGGAAGCTGCTCATTTTGGAGACTTAGGTAAGGCTTCATCAGCTCTGTGATAACATCAACATTTCTTTTTCTTCTGTGAATGTGACTGGTGTGCTCACCGTCCTTTGGTTTGCACCAAGTAGATTAGGGAATTAAAAAATCTGACTGCTGTTACAATAGCATCTGTGTTACCCTAGAAGGGTTTTGAAGGGGCACGGTCCATATGCTTGTTAAAAAAGGTTCCTTTACTTTGTGTACCCCCATCACATTGGAATTGTCTTTTCACCACTTGCATTGCAGGACATTTTTGTATTGAACACCCATGTCTGCAGTAAAATATGAAGTCATTCCCTATTTTTTTTATTATTTTATTTTTAGGCAGATCGTGTCTGAATTATCAGGCTCAAGAGACCAAATCAAGCCTTTCAAAGACCCTTGAACAAGTTTTGCAGGACAATGTAGCCCTCCCTTATTTTATCCAGTTTATGGAACTACGTAGAATGGAACACTTAGTTAAGTTTTGGTTAGAGGCTGAAAGCTTCCACTCCACGACGTGGTCCCGTATAAGAGCACACAGCCTGAACACAGTCAAGCAGAGTTCCTTGGCAGAGCCAGTGTCACCCTCGAAACAGCAGGAAATTGCATCATCTTCTCCAACTGGATTGCTTGAGGAGAGACTGGAGGATTCTAGCACAGTCCATCTGCTCAGGACCAAGCCAGTGGCTTCGGACAAGAACGACAGAACTATCAACAGCCCGAAACACGCACTCTCGGCTCAGGAGAGCGACAATGCGAGTGTTCTTTGTCTAAGCAAATCTGAGACAGGGACCCATTCTGTTCCAGCTGATCAGCAAGAATCTTCCAAGCTGACCGTCTCAAATAGAAACAGCCCTTCCTCTGCACTGAGAGACTTGTCAGGAAAACTCATGAAAAGTAAGTGCCATGTGTTCCCCTTCTTTAAAAAGGTGGGGAGATGGGGCGGGAGCTGCTGGCTTTGTTCAGTGAGCTGCCTCAGTTTCACATGTTCTTAGTAAGCATGATGTGATGTTGTGAGGAACAAACTAATTTTGTATGTCAGTAATCTTCACTTGCTGTGTGAGCTGACGGTCAGTTTGAGCTCTGTATTGTCTGACTGGTTGTTCAAAAATAAATACGCTGCTGGAGAGACTGCAGAATTGTTATGTACTCTGATCAGCTCAGGTTGCTTCTGATCCTACATGTGTAATCTTAAGAAATGAAGATGAACATTGCAACATCCTGTTTTTCCCTCACCCATCTCATCCCAACTTAAAAGAATTGCAGGAAATTTGGATGATGGGGCTGAGAATTGATAATTAACTTTCCACAGAGGGTAAATATCCTGTATGACGTGAAATGACATCAGTAATGGTTACAAGAGACTTGGAGAGATTTTTGTGTGGAATATGCTGGTTTTGTTCTTGGATTTATTTGATAGAGCTCCTCCTCTTGTAACTGATCTGTTCTCATTTGGATTCCACCTCTTCAGAGGCTACTGGAAGTAAGGATGAAATTAAAATATTTACTTTTGGTAGTAAGCTACATGCACAGTAACCTGTTTCTCTACTTTGCATCTACTCCATCCTCTCTCATTTGTGCAAGTCTACAGACAAAAAGGAAACACTCCTTTCTTCATACTGGTTCCTTTTGTTTGCCCAACTGTTTCCTTGTGTTGCATCCCTTTCTCTTGATGTTTTTCTCATGTATTTATTTATCATGTACCTCCACAATCCATAACCTCAGCCCCAAAGCAGCTTAAACAAATGCAATGATACTTTAGTCATGAAAAACATCTCTGCTTTCTGGCATCTAAAAAGAAGTTGAAAGTACTGGGTCCTTTTTGAGACATCTGGAAAGTCAGGAGTATAATTTTTCTCTCTTCCAGAGCAGTGTCCCAACTCTCAAAAGATGACATGTCAAACATACATCTTGTTCTGAGGCATCCTGCTTTAAGATTGTTTTTTTTTCTTTTAATTCCTTTATCATGCAAGTGTTTCAAAGTCTCTATGATGAGAGCTAGAAATTGGGAGCTTCACTGCAGATCTTGCCAGAAGGACATTATTTCTGGGACTGAGGTGTGCAGCTGAGGAAGAGGGTGCTGTCCTGTCGAGGGGCAGGGAATTCAGAGCTCCATTGCTTCATTCCCTCTCACTAGTCAGTCTGTGCTGCACTTATGGGACCTGGCTGGAGATAACACAGTCACTGTAGCTTCTCAGTAGCAAACTATTGAGTAGTGGGCTGAAAGCTTCATGGGAAGAGAACTTGTCACTGGCAATTAGGCACTTCCTTTTCTAAAGAGCAGACGTTGTTATTCACTCCTTGTTTTACACCTGTGCCCAGGAATTCAAAGCTTGACTCTGTTTTTCTTCCTTGTAGGTATAGAACGGGATGCAGTTAGTACTTTTACCAAATATATCTCTCCAGATGCTGCTAAACCAATACCTATTACAGAAGCAATGAGAAATGACATAGTTGGTAAGAACGTGTGCTCCCTCCTCATTTCAGAGCTTCCTCCTTCCCCATAGAAATACATCTTTAATACCACACACACTGATTTCTTTTTATTTTTGAGTTTTAAATTCAGTTGTAAGAAGATAGTAGATCACATTACAAGTGTCAGTGGATCTGACCTTTCAGTAGTGCTGTGCAATATCCCCAGAAGAACTTTTAGAGACTTTGCCTAAATTAGTGAAAGAATTCCTGGTGGTTATGGGGGGAATCCGGATTCGAGTCTCAGTCAAACATTTAGCAGCAATATTGTCATTCAGCTGCCTGCAGGACTTTAAAAGCTCTTTTTGCACAGTCAGAACCAGCTGATTCTAGTGGATTTGAAGTGCAATTTTCCATTAACTAGTCACCACTCATGTCTTTCAGCTCAGTCAGCCAAATGCATGTTAAAATTAACCTGGTCTTTCTCTGCAGCAAAGATTTGTGGGGAAGATGGACAAGTGGATCCGAATTGTTTTGTTACAGCACAGTCAATAGTGTTTCATGCAATGGAACAAGAGTAAGTTGCTTGAACAGTTTGTCTTGTGTCTGTTGTCCCTTTGCAAAAGGGGGTTCTGTTAAATACATTTATGGAGGTTTAACCATATAGTCACTTTCTTGTGCAGTCTTCTGTGGGAAACTGCTCAGATCTCTCCCTCCACATCCATTCTTGTGCTGACTGGCTGAAGTTGTATGTCCACGCTGTTATTACATTCTTCATCTCTCTTGTATCATTTGTAAACCTGCACTGTGTCTTGTTTGTTTTGCCTTTAGCCAACTAAAAGCATTAAGAATTCTGGGGCAAGAACAAATTGATAAGGTGCCTTGAATGCTTTTGACTCTTAATAACTAATTGTTATTCTACCTGTGTGCAGGCACTTTAGTGAATTTTTGCGAAGTCATCATTTCTGTAAATATCAGATTGAGGTGCTGACTAGTGGGACTGTTTATCTGGCTGACATACTTTTCTGTGAATCAGCCCTGTTCTATTTCTCTGAGGTGAGTGTTAGGTTTTGGGTTTATTTTTTTTTCTTTCTATTCCTTTCTATCAAATGGAAAAAAAACTATCCATCCCCTGCTGGCTCTAATAAAGACACCTCAAATATAACTAAAAAGATGAAGTGTATCTTTTTTCTGGGAGAAAATGCATTAAACTGTTTCCTGCCCATGTGTAAAACTACTTCAGATGTTCAGACCTGTACACTGTACTGTAGAGTGAGTATTTGTACGTATCTTCTCAAGTTCAGTGAGTGTTTTTAAGTGTCTCTCTGCTTTGTAGAAGCTTTGACATAGTCACCTGAATCTTGCTGAATGAAGTAGTGACTTTGAAAGCCTTAAGCTTTCTTACAGATGACAAATAATTCACTAGCTTTACATGGAGAGGATGCCAGGTTGGAATGTGGTAGGTTAAATGTGTGATTTTACAGTTGTGGGGTCGTGTACCTGTAGGGAATCATCTGTTAGTAGTAAAATACTTGTCCTGATAGTCTGACAGGCCAGTGGAGTTTGAAACAACAAGCTGGGAGGCTGAGACAATGTGCTGAGTTCAGTGTAAACTAAGCACAGAGTGAAAATAGCATTTCCTCTCTTTAGTATGATAGAAATAAATTGTTATTTAGAAACTAAATGTGAAAATCAGTATAGAAAAGAAATGTCACAAGTTCCTTTTTTTTTTTTAACAAGCTAAATCTATCTGCAACACTGTATCTGAAAATTCAGAATATTTATAAGCCCTGGTGACAATTTTACATCATTAATATATGAACTATGTTTCTTGTTTTAAATGGGAAGGAGCAGGTTTGTCTGTACTTATTAAAAGTTTCTTGCTAAAACTTCTTTAATTTCTCCTCTTTTTTTAATTTCCCTTCCAGTACATGGAGAAAGAAGATGCCGTTAACGTATTGCAGTTCTGGCTGGCAGCAGATAACTTCCAGTCTCAACTTGCTGCCAAAAAAGGCCAGTATGATGGGCAAGAAGCACAGAACGATGCCATGATTTTATATGACAAGTGAGGGAGTTCAACAATTACTTCTTTCTGAAGCTCTGATTTTGTGCTCGTACTTCTGTGTCGCACGGTGTGAAAGGAACTTCTCATTCCCACACCATAACTCTGCAGCCTTGCACCGTTGTGCTGAAATGCATTTTATTAAGACAACCTTCGATGTGTAGGCACATAAGAACTTCTAAAATTGTTCTTTATACATGAGAAAATACTCATAAGGACTCCATTCTTAAAAAAAATTCACAAGTTTCAGGACTTGATTGCTTGAGTTAATGTTTGGTTGTGAAATATCAAAGCCAGTTGGTTGCTATTTGAAAATAAAGGATTTAAACCTGATAGCAGATGCATCACTGCAGAAAAACCTTAAGGTTCAGATCCTGTTCTCCATTTAAAGCAGGCTCTAGGAGCTGTTATCACACATTGTAAAAACCAAACAGTGCTTGTTCTTAGTATTTCAAAATCTTTCCCCTTTTTTTTAAGGAGGCAACCAGATCCCTCTTAATATCAGACTTTCCTGTCATTCTCAAGAGTGGAAGTTTTTTCCTTTATTTTATGCTTCACCTTTGCAGTAATGCAACTGCAAGACAGACATCAAAACAGCCTCCAGAAAAAGCTTGTTTTGAAGATTAAGTGTGAGACTCGTTGCCACAAGCTTGTTGAGTTATTACCCAAGTAGGAAATAATAACTGGAGAGGAAGCAAAACAATTCACGGTGACTTCCATAGAATCATAGAATAGTTTGATTGGAGAAGACCATTAAGATCATCTAGTTCAACCCTAAATCTAGCAGTGGTTTTGTCAGAAATCCCTCTGCTCCATCCATAAACTGTTTTCAGTGGTGTGATGAGCAGAGCAAGTGCTGCTCCCGAGTTCTGGGTGTTTCCTGTTTCCCTGCTACAAGGCTGTGTGTGTGAGATTCTCCCCATCACTGGTCACACGATGCTCTGGTTTTTATCTGTATTTCCAGGGCAAGGCTTTATCCAAAAATGTTTCTCTGAACTGGGGACTTTCTTCCCTGTGCTTAGTGAGGCTCAGTTGTACAAATGTTTTTGAAGCCAGCACCATCTAGTGACTGCAGCATGATTCGTGGTCTTTGGAAAGGGTGGGATCTCACCACCTGCGGAGTTTTGCAAATCCCTTTGTGTTGTCTTCTTCCCCTGTCCGCTGCTGCAGGTACTTCTCCCTTCAAGCCACGCATCCTCTTGGGTTCGATGACTCGGTGAGGTTAGAGATTGAATCCAACATCTGCAGGGAAGGTGGTCCTCTCCCAAACTGTTTCACTACTCCCTTACGCCAGGCGTGGACTACCATGGAGACGGTGAGATGCCTTCTTCAGGACTGTTTGACAGTTAGTAAAGATGATGTGGAGATTCTGCAGCGTGGCAGGTGTCCTCTTCAGCATCTCTGATTTGTCCTGTTCTTTTACTGACTTTGTGTTTACCTGGATAATAGAACAGCTTGAGTAAAATTCGCTAGACTCTTTTCTCAGTCTAATTTGAGAAGATACCACCCACTGGCTTCTGTTAATTCTCTGTGACATGTTTGTCTTGGTTATTACTGCATTTTAATGGCAGTTACAGAATTTCCTCCCATGTGAATTGCTATCAACAGCTTATTAGATATCTTCAGGAAATTTTCCTTCCTCCTAGTAGCAGTTGTTTGCAAGTCTAATACCAGTGGTGTAGCTAATGGTGTAACTCTGGGATACCTGGTTACTAGAGATTAATGATTTGATTCAGGAGCTGCTGGTGATTTTTGAACAGTGCAGCAAAATAGCTGTAAGCCTGTTGGGTTGCCAGGCCTTTCTAGAGGGGGGAAGAAAAAAATCTCAACTTCAGTTCCAGTTATGGAAGGATTTGGTTAATACATAGTTATTTTTGGTCATTTTGCAGCAGGATTCAAATTTAAAGCAATACAGTCACTGATCCAGAATAATTCCACGTGTGGACACTTGTACTTGTGTATCACCTACACAAGGACTGAGATGTTTGTGTGTCCCTCCTGTTCTGCACACGATCTACAGGCATTGTGCAGACCAGCTTTGATTAAAGAGGACTCTTTCTTCTGTCTCTCAGGTTTTTTTACCTGGTTTCTTGTCCAGCAACCTTTACTACAAATACTTGAATGATCTCATCCATTCAGTACGAGGAGATGAATTTCCAGGAGGGAATATTGCACTGAGTATTCATGGCCCCAGTAACTCTCCTGATAACGATTCCATAGGGGGCCCGGATGGCTCTGCCTCCCAGGTATGAGTTTGATGGTTTGATTCTGTTCTGGGAAATGCTGCAGTCACTTTTCTGTATCAATATCAGAGATCCTGCACTGTAAGGAAACATTCTTTGATTTGAAGTTTCCCATTCCACTTTAACATTAAAGCCTGTGTTGTATTAGGACGTGTTTCGTTTACCTGCTGCTAAGTTCAAAGGAACAGTGTGGACATGGAAGAGTAGCCATCACATTTGTTGTACCTGAAGTCTTGTACTGCTTGTAGTTCTTTGCTTCAAAGTTAAGTTTTTATGAAGCTGTTAATATTCACTAAAGACTATTTCATAGTGCACTAACATTTAATTAAACTTTTTATTAGAAATAATATTTTTTTATCAATGCCATAGTTATAATTTTTAGGCAAGAACTGACACTTGTGAAAACATTAGCTAGTGTTAGCTAGTTTCTCAGCAGACTTTTCCCTCCTACCATCCTCAAGCTGGTTAATGGTGCTGGTCTGACCCCTGACCTTTCCAAAGAGAGCTCTGACACTTATTACCACTGAGATGCTCTGAGCTGGGGAGTGATACCTGCATTTTGTTTGCACGAATGTAGTTTGATGTAAAGCTGGGCATTAAAAAAGTCTATTGCTGGGTAAGGTGTTCTAATTAATCATTGAGCATGATTAGAGCTAGAGAAGTGTGGAAAGTGGCTGCTTCTTTGCTGTACTGCCTAGAAACAAGGACTGACCTCCTTTAGCTCTGCTCCCCTTCCAAAGTCATTGAGAAGTGTCCACTGTGTGTTTGCTTTGCACGGTGCCCTGGTTGTGGGCCAGCATCTCTCTCTTTTTTTTCTTTTTAATTGCTTTTTGTGATGCTGCTTTCCCAGAGCTGTGTTCCTGTGCAGGCCCAGCTCAGAGACCGGCAGTGGAGCTCGCTCAGCTACACTCTGAAACCATCCCAGTAGTGTCAGAGATTTGTTTTTAACCAAGAGTTATGTGTTCCAAAAATTCTAGCTTTGCTTAATTCAGATGTGAAAGAGAGGATAAGCAGATCCTGCCTTGTCTGTAACCAGGTCAGCTTGCAAACTGCAAGCCCAGCTGGGAGCAGAGGAGCTGAGCTAGAGCTGCTGTTGCTGAATTGCTTTTATTGAACGCTGCAGTGCTACCGTGGGTTTTACATCCAGTATTAGACCAACAGTATTGACACATACTGTGCTTCAAGCAACTTGGAAGCCAAACTACCTGCTCATAACATTTTTTAAACCTTGTAATTTGCAAGGAAGGAATATTCCCACTTATTTACAAAGTGGGGAATAAAATCCTGTGTTCTGACTATCTTGAAATATCCTATTGCCTGATAGCCTGAGCAGGAGGAACTACTGGTAACTGGCTTGCTTGGATGATGTAGGAATGCAGTGCTGTGTTTTGTGGTGTGCATTCCTTTTTCCTGCTTCTCTGAATAGCAGAGTCTCTGGGTCTCTGCATAATGTTGCATAAAGAACAGTGCTTACGCAGAGCAGCGGGGAAGGAGCTCGCAAGGCAGCGCCCATGAAAGTTTCTGTTCTGTGTTAAGGTGCTAATAGATTGCTGTGCATTTGTGCTCTCCCTGCTGTTGGCTCTCATGTTTCCTTGGATTTTTCATAATCTTATCTAAATACTCCAAGCCAAAAAGATAAATGTTTGTTCTCTGTGTATGGGGGAAGCGCAGTGTGTTTGGGAATCGCTTACCAGGCGCAGGAGAGGGACTAGTGAAGCTGCTGCAGCTTTTGAGGGAGTTCAGTGTTAGGTCCTCACAGACAAATAATTTGCACACACACACAGATCTGTTCAGCTGATAACGCTCAGACAGCAGCACTTACACACGTGTGCTGACCTGTACATTGTGGCTTTGGCTCTGTTCATGTAACTTTATCATCCTCTGTTTAAAAACAATGTCATACTGGGTGAGGAATTTGTCGCTGTGTAGATGCTCTCTAATTCCTTTATGCTTGCTTAGAGGCTGTGTGGAGGTTTATCTACGTGTAAAAGCACTGAAATAGCAGTTTTTTTAAGAAGCTCTTAGTTGTCTGCATTGGGCACTAATACTTAGAATTTTTATTTGTAGTCCAATGTCAAAAAGGCTAATGTTAAAATCCTGAAAAATTTTGATGAAGCAATAATTGTAGATGCTGCAAGTCTGGATCCAGAATCTTTATATCAACGAACATATGCAGGGTAAGGCTCATTCAGTGTATCTCATTCTTTCTAGTTGTCTGTTTCACCTCTGTTTCATTTTTGCTGTGTCCTTCTGCATTCAGAGTTCACATAAATGCAAGATGTTGCAATCTTAGTATGTGTCTTAATATTTGGAAGTAAATTAATTTCAATAGTGTGATTTAACACCAGTGTCATAGTGAATGTTTCTCTGACCAGAGTGGCAGCCCTAAAAATATTTTCAATTGGTTATTTTCTTTCTCCTAGTTATTATTCCTCTGACTCCAAAATACAGCATAGTTGTTCCTGTTTGAGGTTGGAGCAGAAAAGAAAAAGCTTAAGAGCCTTTGATATTGTAACGTGCAACTTTGATTTCTCCCTACCCCCGTGGTGGAGAAGGGCTTACACTTCATTTCTGGAGCAGATTGCACAGCTATTCTTCTGTTTCTTAAGTTGCTCTTTGTGATAAAGCTCTTCTGTTCTGTGGATCTCAGACAGAAATTCTTTGTTTCTATAGCTACCTTGCTTTTCTGTTGCATACCAGGCTTCTGTCCTTTTAGGCCCTGTTAACTCTGTTCTCCCGAGTGACGTGGTTTTGTGATAGCGTAGAGCACTTGCTAGCACAGCCTGTTGATTTTACACGATTGAGTCATTCAAGCATTTGCCTACTTCTAGTTTCTAGAAGAATTTTTAGGATACACTTCAAATTCAGGTACATGAGAAGAGGGGGGGATTTGTATCAGTTTTAGGTGGAAAAGGTGGTCATTGGTAAAAGGCCAGTGTTCTAACACTAGAGTCTTTATTGTGGTGGCTTTTTTGTTTTCCTGATTGGTGACTTTCCATAGTGCTCAAGTCCTTAGTAACCTTGTGGTTCTTTTACTCCTTCTCTCCTCAGGAGGATGACGTTTGGACGAGTCAGTGACCTGGGACAGTTTATCAGAGAATCTGAACCAGAGCCTGATGTCAAAAAATCAAAAGGTTTGTTTTCCTCTTTCTCTCCATTTTGTAAACATCTGCAGAACTGCTCCCTCCTTACTGCAGTCAAGATAAGCACGATTCTTGACTCTTTCCAAATCTGTTTTAAGCCAAATAGAGATGCTTAGGGGATCGTCCTGTGCTGAGGCAAACCCCATCTCTGGCCCAATTTCCAAGCCAAATTCTGCTTTTCTGGTCCAGCTGGACCCCTGGGAGGATGAGCAGCCTGTGGGAGTTGGAGCTGTCGATGGAACCTGGCAGCAATGAAAGCTGCTGGCAGCTGAGCTGATGATCAAACCTTCAAAGATTTGGTCTCAACATGAAAAAGAACTTCAGCTCTCCACATGCTTCCCACCCAGTTTGGGATCTGCTGTTACTGCTGCTTTTCAGCTCTGGTGAAGAGGAATGATTCGGGCTCAGTGTCTAATGAACCACAGCTCCACGTAATCCCTTGTCTTTGGTGCCACTCTCCTGTGTTCTCCAACGCCAGCAGTGAAACCCTTCAGGAGGGTGGAAGGAATGAGCTTTTGGAGAGGTGTTCCACAGAGTTTCTAACATACCTCACTTGCTGTTTTTTATCTCAACTAGGGTCCATGTTTTCACAAGCAATGAAGAAATGGGTTCAAGGAAACACAGATGAGGTGTGTCCTCTTTTCTGCTGTCCTTGTGACTAATTTTACAGTGTAGATTAGGGAAATATTGAAGTTCTTAGTACTGGCTGTTTCTCTGAGGGTCTTTCTGATGCACCAGCAAGAACTGTCAGACTCTGTGTGTGAAATGTAATTTGATTGCCTGCTTGTGTGAAACGAGCTTGATTTTTGCCAGTGCTTGCTGGTTTAACTAATACAGTGGTTAACTGTGTGCTTGCAGTCAAGGTTTTTATTATGGTGTTGTAAGATAAATCCACAATTAGGAGTGGAGATGCTGTTGTTCTTTGGTTTTTACTGTGAAATGACCCCTGTACATGGACTACAGGCTGCACTTTTTCCCCTCAGAGAGGCTTGGCCAGGTCCCCAACAGATAAGTCTAAAAACTTCAGTAATGGTCTTGGGAATTGCATCAAACCATAAATATTCACGATAATTGAAGGTGACACTGTACTTGGAAACCAGGTGCATTTCCATCAAGGGAGGGTAGGTTTACTACAAGTCACTGAGTTGTGAAGGTTAACCACATCTCCAAGGTTCAGCTTGTGAATTATGCTGAGGGGACTGTATTTCTATTTTAAGAACTTGAAGCTATATCTGTATTTTGGGATGTTTTTTTCTATGGCAGGCTCAAGAAGAGATGGCTTGGAGGATAGCAAAGATGATAGTCAATGACGTGATGCAGCAGGCGCAATGTGACCAGCCGTCGGAGAAGGTTACCAAGGTGAGGGGGCGGAAAGGCTGCCGGTCTTTATCTGAGTTAAGGCAGCCTGTGGGAGGAGCAGAGTTCTTGCTGCCTTCCTAGTGCATCTGAAACCCACGCTGGTAAATGTTCAAGCTAGCATAGCGTGATAGGAAGAAGCAAAGGTTGGAAGTGTTGCAGCCTACGTGTGGTGGAGGAATTTCTTGACAAGCGTCTGTAGCGGTTCTCCTGCGCGAGCGTGGAAATGGTCTTTGTTCATTTTGAGTCTTTACCCTTAAAAGGGTGATTTGTGTTGCAGGATCAATGCTGTAATTCCTTGTTTGAGTTCCCACGTGCTGTTTCACGTTAATGAACGCTGGTGTATTTGCCTAAAAGTGTCAATAAGACTCAAGAGCTGGGAAGTTGCCTTGTTGGCCGCGCTGATTGACACAGTGCGGTGTCTGCAGCCTCTAGAAGAAGGCACAGGAGCCCTGTCCGTAGGCGAGTGCTTTAGTGCTGTATGTTGTTGGTCAGTGACTTTGTTGTTGTACAAATCCACATGTTCTCTGTTTAAAAAAAAACAAACAAAAAAAAACCCCAAAACCAACCAAACAAACCAAAAAACCCACAAAACCCCAACCAGTTCTGACGCAACAGTTGGATTTTGTGAAATAACGACGACAGCAGTTTATCAAGTTAATATCTGGTCCTTCTGGCTTTGAGAGGTCTGAGTTTTTAAAGATTAACTTGCACTGTTTTTAATTATTGAAGGTAAACATGTGCCAAAGCCCAGTTCTTAGACCCAAACGGATGGATCCATAGTTTGACTCCGTGACTTCTCTTTTTCATAGAGCAGTTATATTTAAATGACTTGTATAATGATTTCACTGAAGAGCTTGGCTGCAAATGCTATAATTCCAGTCTGGCTAGATGAAAAGGTCACTCAGCACAGTATTTAGAAATATCAAGTGGGTGCAGATGCTCTGGATTCAATTAAGCAAGTATGGTTACAGTCATCAGAAGGTTGAGCGTGTTCTGGGACTAGTGTTTGTTTTTCTCTCTCCCAAACTCAGGAGAATACCTGACTTCAACATTTTTAACACAAAATGTCTTTCTCTTGAGCGATTGCCTTGTATGTTTTAGGGTAAAATGAACTCTAACCCTGTTCTTCCTTTTCCAGCTATGATTTTAGAAACACCAGAACAGGAAATCTGGTTTTCCGCTTCGAGAATGAGCGAACTGTCCCTTCTGGTGGGTTCTTTAACACAGCCAATAAAAACAAAGCACTGTTAACTCCAACCACCAACATCTCCCTCGTTTGTAAGGAAGAATTAAAAAGAAGAAGCAATTCTGTACCTCCACTGTAGAGCCTGAAGGGACACTTTTTCCTGTTGTATGTGGCATTCACAATAATGATGGTTTTTAAAGAGATGAAGACACAGTTGACGAATGTGTCACTGAGAAACTGTGATCAGCTTCACAAATACTTGACCCTGTCTCAAAAAGACTTTTTAGCAAAATATCTGGAATGGGACACAAGCCACAACAAAGAGAAAGAGAGGAAGGTTTTGCTGTAGTTTCTAGTTCTACTACTTGTAATTTTTAAACACATAATTGGGAAGGCTGCGGGGCGCGTCGCCGCCGTGGCCACTGGGGAGGTGACCCTGAAACGGTGAATTCATTGGCAGTGAAATGACCTGAACAAGTTCTAAGTTTTCCTTTTCCTTAATTGAAATAGATGAGTATTCAACTGTAAGATAAACTGTATTTTCCTTCATAACTACATTAACTTCCAAGGCAGCGTAGAGTGAGCAGGAGCGAAGCCTGGACAGTGGAACTCTTCCACCTGCACACACGATCCTCTGCTTCCACCACAGAGCAGACTCGAAAGCCCATCTGGCACTTGTGCTCCTGAGCCCCAGCTCTGAATGCAGCCCACCTTCTGGGGAGATCCTACCCTCTAGACCACTCCATTTTCTTTCCCCTCCATCCCACAAGCAAGGAAAAAAGTAATTGCTGCCATTCTCCATAGCTTGTTGTCCTCCAGCCAACCTCCTACCTAATTCCAGATGTTTGGTTTACAAAGAAAAATAATTTTTAACGACCTCTGGCCTTCTCCCTGACATTGTCACCACTTGCAGAACCTTAGTTTAAGTAAAAAAGCCACCGTGTTGCACAGCACCTCTGGGTTGGGTTTGGTTTGGTTTTTTTCATTCCAGTGAGTTGATTTTGCAGAGGATCAGAAGTTCTCAGCGCGTCACCGTTACGTTATCGCTGCATTTTTAGGATGCAACCCTTCTGGTTTGGGATTTTTATTTTACTCTTATGAATGCTTTTTTGTTTTTTTTCCCCTCAAACTTGTGCAAAAAAAATCATCACTTTGCAAAGAACTCGAATCATCTCCAATGTTCAGAATCTCTTGATTGACTAGCAAGTGTTATTCTGTTGCAATATTTGATTGTATAGAGACACACTATTGTCTATAAAAAGCAAAAAAGGCTGTGTATAGGTTTTTTGGTACTATGTACCACCTCTTATTTTCTCTCATGCCCAAGTATTCATGTACTTAAAACATACTCTATTTAATTGTGTTTTGATTTAAAATATATAAATATTAAAATTTGTGTCTGTTCTCTGTTTTGATGGGATTTAACTTGACACGTTTGGGTTTTTTTAAATGTGAGTCTTGGGGGTTTATAAAAGAAACAAACCACTGAACAATTTGTCCTTGGTGCATTTACACACATTTCCTAATCTTTAATGGCTGATGTTAATGGTGCTGTGGTGAAATGAGAATAATTTCTATCTAAATACTAAATGAGAAAGTGTTTTAATCACAGGCTGGGAAACAGGTAGAAGGGGCAGGGCTTGGTCCTGTACCACAGCATTGAACTACACACACACCCTGGAATCCTCTTCTGCGTAGGGAAGCGAATCCCTCACCCCTCCTGTGTGTGACACTGATGTTTCCACCTTGGCAGGATCCAAACTAACCAGCTGGGTGCGTTTGGGGATTACAGGCCAGAGGTTTGGGTGGAAATGCTGCCCAGGGCTCCCTCTTGTTCAGCTGCTGCGCTGACCGAGTGCGAGAGGCTCAGCTTATCTCAAGTCAGCTCAGTGGCAAACACCTGTAGTGCTGCAGCTCCTGGAGGCTGATAAGAGAAACATTCCTGGAAAAAAAGAAGGGAGAAATCCTTGCCAGGGCTCCTCCTTGTTCTCTGGGCCTCTCCCAGCTCTGGGAGGGGAAGGCAGCGGGCAGGGGGCACTTGCTGGTTGCTGGGGACAGCTTCTCAAAGCTGTTTTGCTTGGAACAGCGGCCAAGGGGTAAATCCAGGCTTGGTTGTTGATTTAGACCCACTTGCTGGTTTTTCCTCTTCTCTCCATAGGTGTTGATTAGATTTGATGGAGTGTTGATCTCCAGGGTTATGGATTTCTGATGCTCACTGTGGTTGTTAATGGTTTGTACTGGAGGGGATGGGTGCTGTTGAATTTCTCGCTGTGTTCTGGGTTTGCGTGGCAGATTCGAGTCTCTCAGGACGTTATATTTCTGTGTCCTGCCCAGCCCCAGGAGCCAGTGTTTGTCTGGTGAATAAAGCACCTTTGACTGCAGCCCCAGCCCTTCTCCCTTCA